GTGCAAAAAGCAAATGAGACAATCAATTTTTTTGAGGAATAGAATGAGACAATCAATTAAGGACGGAAGGAGTATGATTTACGAAGTAAGGAGAATTATGAAAAAGTCCTTGTGCGTTTTTTTTTTTTTTTTTAAGTGGGTTAATCTTGTGCATTGGGTGAAGACAGATCTATGGCTTTCATTCCATCCTATTTTTCACCTAGGGACATTATGCATAGGAGCTTGAGCATATATATATATATATATATATATATATATATATATATATATATATTCTGTGCATTTTTCACTTAAGGATCCATTTGCACCAGATCATTATATATACACAGTGACTAAATTGAATAAAATCTATAGTACAAGGACCTTACAAGTACTTTGACAAAAAGAAAAAAAAATTGTACAAAATAACCTAGAACTTATACAGTGAAGTGAAATTTGAAATCAAGTTTAATGCTTGAAAATGAGTGCAATCTACGCCCAGAAATAGGGATGACAATTTTACCCAAAATAAAATAACCACACGGATATTTCACCACACTGAGGCTCAAACTCATGATCTTCCATTTGAGAGAATCAAATTATACCGCTTGACGACAAGGTATTTGGCAAGTATTCATTTATTTATTATATAAGTTTATGCATCTTTTATAATTAAAAATACATAATGAATTAAACTTCTTTATGGGCTAGTGCCTCAGGGATTCAATTGAATCATCATCTCATTGTCTTATTTTTTTTGTTTAAGAAAATTGAAAAGCAACAACACAAATAACATAATGAATAAACACCTAATACAATTTATACTACCAACATAATTTTAGTTTCAGTTAAAGATTAACATCGTTAGTTCTTATTAAATTTTAAAGTTATGTTCAAACTATTAGGACTATTAGGACTCTATTATCCATATTAAACTAGGACTATATTATTCATGTTATACTAGGATTCTATCTAGCATCTCTATATATTCGCTCCCTGTACTCTCAGACATTATCATTGAATACAACACAATTATATTCTCATCTGGTATCAGTTAGCCAGGGTTTTCTTTTCCAACATCCATGTTCCTCACTTCGTAGCAGTAGCCGATGGCATCAAACCAAGATACACCGTATCAGAAGCGGTCCGGTCAACGACGTGAAGTTGATGATCCGTGTCAAATTTGTAAAGGTTTCGGCCACACGGGAGCCAATTGTGTTTGGCGTTATGATGATCCGTGTCAAATTTGTGACCGTTTTGGTCACATGGGAGCCAATTGTTTTTGGCGCTATGATGATCCGTGTCAAATTTGTAACCGTTTTGGTCACACGGGAGTCAACTGTTTTCGGCATTATTCAGGGGCTCCGGGTTTTCAGGCTAATGTGGCCGTCTCTGGTGATAATGGTGATTCCAACGGTCCTCATCAGTGGTTCCCTGACACTGGTGCTACAAATCATGCAACGCCTGATTCTTCTTTGATGACTTCTGCGACAAGTTATGATGGCCCGGAGACTCTGCGAGTCGGCAATGGTACATGTTTGCCTATTGTTAATGTTGGTTCTACTTCGTTAGCCACTGATTCTATGTCTTTTAAGTTACATGATGTTTTGCATGTCCCTGGTCTCTCTTCTTCTCTATTATCTGTCCAGCGTTTTGCAAAGGACAATAATGTTTTCTTTGAGTTCCACCATCTTTGTTTCTATGTGAAAAACATTTTGAACAAGAAGGTTCTTTTTAAGGGACATGCGTCTGGGGGTCTCTACACATGGCATGCGTCTTCTGCTTCCCCTACTGCATTTGTTGTTGCACGGTCCTCTTATGTTTGGCACATGCGGTTGGGGCATCCTCATTCTCGAGTCTTACGTAAAATTTTAGCGTCTTCGTCTGTTGGTACATTTAATTCTAGTGATCTTCCCAATGGCTGTTCCTCTTGTCAATTAGGAAAATCTTCTCGTTTTCCTTTGTCTCGTGTCGAAACTACTAGTACGCATCCTTTGAAATTAATTTATTCAGATATTTGGGGCCCTGCGCCATTACTTTCTGCGTCTGGCTTTAAATATTTTGTGGTGTTTGTGGATGATTGCACTTGTTATATGTGGTATTATCCCATGCGTGCTAAATCTGATTTGTATGCTATATTTGATAAGTTTCGGTCACTAGTTGAACGTTCCTTTTCTCGCAAGATTATTTCTTTTCAATCTGATTTAGGGGGAGAATATAAAAACCTTGGTTCCACTCTTGCGTCCTTAGGTATTCGTCACAGGCAATCATGTGCTTATACTCATGAACAAAACGGCAGGGTAGAACGTAAGCATAGGCATGTTGTTGAAACGGGACTAGCATTAATGGCTCAATCCTCTGTTCCGTCTCGTTTTTGGGATTATGCTTTTGAAACTGCGGTTTATCTAATCAATAAAATGCCCACTCCTATCTTATCTGATAAATCTCCGCATTATCTTTTGCATCGGTCTCCTCCATCTTATTCATAACTGCGTGTTTTTGGGTGTTTATGCTTTCCAAATCTGCATCCCTATAATCGCAACAAACTATAGTTTCGGTCATCCCCTTGTGTCTTTCTAGGATATCCTCCATCTTTTCGTGGCTATCGTTGTTTAGACACTAACACTAACAAGGTTTTTATCTGTCGCCATGTGCGATTCGATGAGGCTGTCTTTCCTTTTGTTGCTTCTGTGGATTCGCAGGTTCCAAAACCATGCCCGGAGCCATGGGGTGTTGCACCAATTGTTTCTTGTGGTGGTCCGACTATTGTCACGGCTCGTGATCCTCTTGCCGCGCCCATAGCCGCTTCTGACCACCACCGCCAGCAGCCTGCTACTGCCGAGCCCATGATCGAGTCCGAGCGGACAGTCACGGACCAGCCGGCTCCTCGGCCAAGAGGCCGGCCTCGTGGTCGGTCTCGTCACGCGCCCTCACCCGTTCGCTCTCATGGAATGAATACGAGAAGTTCGGTACCACATGATCATGTTGTTTTATCTGATGCTGCTATTACTCCTGAACCTACATGTTTTACTCAAGCGGTTAAATTTCCTGAATGGCAGGATGCAATGGATTTGGAATTTAATGCCTTGGTGCACAACAATACATGGAGGCTTGTTCCCTTTAAATCAGGTATGAATGTAGTTGGATGTAAGTGGGTGTTTAGAACCAAGAGAAAGACTGATGGTTCGATTGAGCGTTACAAGGCTCGGTTAGTTGCCAAGGGATTCAATCAAATTGCCGGCGAGGATTTCTTTGAGACCTTTAGTCCCGTTGTTAAACCGACTACGGTACGTCTTCTTTTATCCTTAGCTATTTCTCGTGGATGGACTATTCGACAGTTGGACATACACAATGCTTTTCTAAATGGCAATCTTGCTGAGACGGTTTATATGCGCCAGCCCCCTGGTTATGAAGACAAAACGATGCCCGGGCACGTTTGTCTCCTTCAACGTTCTTTATATGGGCTTAAGCAAGCTCCCCGTGCTTGGTTCACTCGTTTGCATGATTTTCTGGTTTCTCCTGGTTTCTCACCTTCCAAGACGGATGTCTCTCTATTTATATATTCACATGGCAATACTCGTCTATATTTTCTGGTTTATGTGGATGATATTTTGGTTATGGGATCTGATCTGGCTCATGTGACTGCTCTTATTGACAAGTTGGCTCTTGAGTTTAAAGTTCGTGATATGGGTGTGCCCTCGTTCTTTCTGGGTATTGAGACCATTCTGTTGTCTGATGGCATGCTTCTGTCTCAACAACGGTACATGAAGGATATTCTAAAACGAGCAGGTATGGTTGATTGCAAGCCCGTGGCTACTCCGGTTTCAACCACGAAGGCCGAGACTGATGCTGTGGTACCATACGCTGATCCCACTCAGTATCGCAGCTTTGCAGGTGCTCTGCAATATCTTACGGTAACTCGGCCTGATCTTTCCTATGCAGTCAATCGTTTGTGTCAACACATGCACTCTCCCTCTACTGCGGATTGGGCGACTCTCAAGAGGGTGTTACGGTATGTAAATGGGACACTACATCTTGGTCTTAAGATTACGTCTTCTCCTTCTCTAGATATTCATGCATATTCTGATTCAGATTGGGCTGGCAATCCTGATGATCGCAAATCTACTAGTGGTTTTGCTGTATTTTTTGGGACCAATCTTGTCCATATTGGGTTTGTCGAAAACAACGTACTGTGGCTCGTTCATCAACTGAGGCTGAATACAAAGGACTGGCTGATGTCTCTGCAGAGGTTACTTGGCTCGTCTCTCTGATGAAGGAAATGGGGTTTGCGTCACCTTCTGTGCCCAAACTCTGGTGTGACAATCTGGGAGCTACTTATCTGTGTGCTAATCCGATGTTTCATGCTCGCACCAAACACATTGCGATCGACTACCACTTTGTTCGTGATAAAGTCGCGAAGAAGGAATTACAAGTCAATTTTATTTCTACCAAAGATCAGATAGCGGATACTTTTACTAAGTCTCTTTCGTCTGTACATTTTAATTCACTCCATTACAAGCTCAATGTTTTGGCTGACCAACCTTGTGCTTGAGGGGGAGTATTAGGACTATTAGGACTCTATTATCCATATTAGACTAGGACTATATTATTCGTGTTAGACTAGAATTCTATCTAGCATCTCTATATATTCGCTCCCTGTACTCTAAGATATTATCATTGAATACAACACAATTATATTCTCATCCAAACTTATAAAAAGAATGAATGTGATAATTAGAATAGTAGTATAAAATTTTTATTAAATTTAAATGTAATATTAATAATTAAAGTTACGAATTGAGTATTACCCATACCCTTAAAATCTCCACAGAGGTAAAAATGAGATAGAAATTTCATTACCCACGAAAGTGCAGGTGCAAGAATGGGTTGGGAATGCAGGTGCGGAGGCACGCCCCATTTCCATTCCTACCCTGAAATGACTGCAATTTGGTTTTAAAAATTTTGGTCCATATAATATTTACTTATAACTTATAAACATACAAGCAATTATTAATAATATATAGGTGAAACTGAAGGTAACATTTAAGCAACCTCATCTTCTTTAATCACAGTAACCTGATTCAATCTGGAAGTTAAAATGAAGAAATTATATAAACACAGGCACAAGAGTTCCTAACGCTATGAATTTCCACCATCGCCTTGTTATTTTGCAAGGGAGGCTCGGTTAAGAGAGAAAGAATACTGTTAACCAGAGCTATATATATATTATGTGGTAATCAAGTTGAAGCTTTTTAAGAGGGGACCTCAAGACAGCATGATATCATAGACCAATTCTTCAACCAATGATGTTAGAATCTCCTTCTCAACCTCCATACCTCCTTCAAGTTCCTCTGTCCCAAAATCGGTCCATTTCCCATGTTGGGTACTCATGTCCTTGTCCACGAGCTCGTCCACCATCAAATCTTCCATGCTGGTCCACCCCGATATCTCTCTGTACATTTCTTTTGCCAGCCACTCCTTCCGTTGTACCAGCGTGGTCCATCTTGCCCAAGTATGGAAACTCCCACGAATGGACTGCTCGTGTCTGAATTCCAACTGCTCTACCACACAATCAAACAGCAGTCTTCGCCTACCCTTCAAGGCTTCTACGTATTTGTTTGATCCAACCTTCTGCATCTCTAACCGGTCAAAGAGATCTGCTGATATGATCCCGTGGGCCTCACTTGGAACAGACTCCTTCATCATCAAATCTGCATTTCTGAGAATATCCTTGATATATTCCAATTCCCAATAGGTTGAACCCTTAACATCTGCACAAATGAATGCAACTGCTGACTCCTTCCTATTTCTGCTGCTACCTATAGATACTGAGGAAGCAGAGTCTAATAATTCCATATCATCTTCGACAGTAAGTGCTATCGAAGAACTCCAACTCCTAACTTCATGAGATCCAGCAACATGATTCTTGGTGCCTGAAACCATATTATATCTTCAATTTGAACTTAATTTCTTTTGAAAGAACCACACAAGGGATAATTACTTACAATCTAGCTTCAATTCATAAGGTGATGATTTAAATGATTTGAGAAAACCAGAACAGGTACGCTGTCAACCAATTTGTTGAACTTAAAGAATGCAAGTGGTTGTAGTTAAGAGGTCTTTGGTCCAAATACACACACATATATACATAACATGCATGCATACATACATATGTGAGGAGAATCAGTGTTGAACCTAAGGCCAACCTAGAGTCATAGCTTCATAGGCTTATACCATTAAAATGTCTCAAAACAGTCATGATATTCCTCTAATAAATTTTACATAAAAATATTAATTTTTCAGAACCTAGATAAAGATGTGAAAGCAGACTTAAAATAAAAGTATTTTATTATTGTAAATATAGAACTAAAAAATTGAAAGAAAATTGTCTCACCCATTTAAACAACGTTCTTGGATTTTTCCTCTTTTTAATCATTATTTTCTTGGGCAATCTTTTACCAGTTAAAAGTACAGATAAAAGCACAAATAAAATATCCACAATATCTAATAGATCCTATTGGTGCAGGACAAAATGGGGTGGGAGAGGAAGTAAATTGCAATAAAGAACTAAAAGAAGACACTGTTGCTGCAGTACTTGGTATTGTTTGCGACAGTACCTCATAATTATTTTAGGTCTTCCTCCAATTCCTCTGTACTTTCTAATTTTTTAAGGCCTTAATATCCTTGAATATTCCAAATAATTTGGGTCTTATTACAATTATTTTCTAAATGTTAAGGACCTTAATATCGTCATTTCCATTAGTTAAGAGATTCAGGATTTATCAGCAAAATTTATAAATGCTTTCTTTTGGATATGGACTCGTACATAAACCACCCTGAGAAAGCATATTCAAGATTCATTCCCAAATTTTAAATTGTAGTCTAATAGAAGGCACAGATTATAAAGCCATTATTCATTTATACATGAGAATTAGGTCAGTAACTTACCATCGCCAAAAAAGCTTTCATTGCTGTCTGACAAAGTGCAGCTTTCTGCTGAGAAAGAAGGCTCCAGACTTGAGGCTGGGCTAGGATATTGAAAACTAAATTCTCTTCCATTTCCATTATAGATACCATTGCTATCCTCTTCTATATCTTCTGATTGCTGAAAAAGAGCAGCAAAAGTCAACAGTTGACTGAGATTAAACAAATGCATATACCATATGGCTTCAAATAAGAATAAAAAGAACTACTAAATAGAAGCAATATCAGAACATAATTGGTTAACAGAATACTTTTTAATGTGGTATGGCTTCAAATAACAACAAAAAAACAACTAATTGGAAGCAATATCAGCACATAATAAGTTAACACAATACTTTTTCATGTGGGGTTGGGGTGGGGGTGAGTGAAGGGAAATGAATAAATTTCGATAAGACAGAAAACATATTTACCAATCCGTTTTGAAAGAAAGCAAGAAGCTCTGATTTGACAGGATCAATAGCTCTAATGCATGCAAAAATTTATTGATCACTAGGTATTTCTAGTAATCCATTACTTTCTTTTAATCCAAAGTCATTTTCTTGAACCATGGGTAGAAATGATTAAAAATACCTGCCACTTCTTTGTTGTTTTTGGTTGAAGAACACCAAGTGGAGAAGAAACAGAGTCACATTTGATGTTTGTTTTCTCTCTAATCAGATTGGGTTGAGACCTGTTATGTTCTGTAGATACAATTCCATGACTATCAAGACTGTGTGCAGAGTTTTGTAAGGTGTTGGCAGAACTAGAAATAGATCCATTTTCACTCAGGTATTGACCGGATGACTCAACCATAGAGGTTAACTCCTTCAGTTTTTCATCTAATAGAACACCCAAAGCATCACCACCAATTACATTCAAACCTAATGGTGGTGTGATGGATGATTTTGGAAAGGACTGATTGTCACAAGAATCAGAAATGAGAGACAAAATGTTCTTCTTTTCCATAATTTGGCTTGAAGATGTGGATCCCGCCACTGTTTTCTTAATGGGAGATGTGAATGTAAATGAAATAACATCCATACCATTTTTCCTCTCAACTCCATCCCAGTTGGTACATCCTTCAATTGTGACATTGCATTTTACTGACTTGTCATCTTTGCTCTTCAATATGCTGCTGGGAACAATTCCATCAGAGTGAATATCCCCATTGACTAGCTGTTCCTTTCTGCAAAGTGTCTTTGATCTAGAAGTAGATGGTTCCTTTCCAATATCAGTTGCCATAGATCTTGCAGCTCCAGAACTGTTTCTGTTTACGACAGTATTTTTTACAGTCTTACTGGGCCTAGATATGTCATTTGTGGAAGAAGATTTCCTCTCTTTTGGGTAAGAGACTGAAGATTTTGTGCTTTCCCCATCTTTATTAGATGAACTGTTCTGCTTCTGGTTATTCTGCCTTAGCACATTGGAGGTCTTGCTGGATGCTCTTTTTTCCACACTTCTTTGTATATTTGACCTATTCCTACCAGATTTGCCCTCTGTGTATTCCTTTGAAGTTACAGAAGTTTTATTACCAGTTGGAGCTGATCCCTCCCTTTTCTGAATATTGGTCTTCGCCTGAACTGCAAGTGAAACTGATTTCTCCTTACCCTTACTGTGAGAAACATCTCGCCTTGGTACCTCGGCAGCCCAGTGTGGGTGTGTCTCTTCTGGCTGACCCTGGACCTTCTCAGTAGGTTGTCTTCTCAGAGGTTTAACAGAATTGTGGTCTCTGATTCTTTGAGATGCTTCGAGAACCTTGGATGATTTCTGAGCAGCCTCCATTTTCTCTCTTAGGTCACGTATTCTCAAAGGAACAGAAGAAGAGCTGCAATGTTGCATCTTGTTCTTGATTGTTGATTTAGGACTTTGCTGAATTATTCTGGCAGCAGCCTCCATTATATATTCTGCATTCTTAGGGGGAATAAACCCAGGACTTTTAATAGGAGATAACATCCTATGTTGGGTAACTGAAATAGGCTTAGCTGATTTTGGAGGCAATACTTCAGTTTGAAACCTCTCAATTGGGAGGTTTTGCACCTTTTGCAGCCTCATTTCAACAGGATTCATGCTAAATCCATCCAATTTATTCCGCACATTTTCATAGACTACCGTGTGATGTCCATTTCCAAAGTCACTGGTTGCTCTTGGGTAATGAGAATCTCTATACGAGTGAGAGTATGGGGGCGGGGCTTGATACAGTTCTGAAACTTGTGAAGTCGGCAAAGAATCCAATCCCATAAGGCGTGCAACAACCCCAGGTGGCCGTTGCCCATAATTTTCATCACTACTGACTGACAGAGCAGAGTGATAATCATAATTCTGTTTGGCATCTAAGCCAAATACATAATCATGTGCCTTCAAGAAAATAAACAGCAGCGATGAACAATAAGTACGTAATCACAGGAACAAACTATATAGTTCAATTACTTAAGAATACACACACACACACACACACATATATATATATATATAGAGAGAGAGAGAGAGCCACCTTCTGAAATTGTGACAGGGCCGGTCCATTGATATATTCTTTCCCCTGTTTAGAACTTTCTGTAACAAAAGTATCGCAAAAGTAACACTATATTCAGCACTATGCATCAGAAGCAAAAGAGAGTGTGCTAGTTTAGATATTGCAAAGGGAGGAAAGGACTTGCCAGGTGCTTCAGACTTGTTAGAGAAAAGCTTCTTTCGAGATTTAATATTCCAATCAAACAACTGCAGAAAGCCTCCCTTCAAACTTCGCTTTTCAACCTCCATTCGTTCATTCAGTTCCTCAAACACCAGATCAAATCAAGTACATTCTGCAATAAGCATTCACATTCAGTTACCAATCTCAAGTACTTTAGACACTATTAATATCCACATAAAATAGAGCTCTTTTTTTTTTTTTTTTTTTTTTTTTTTTTTTTTTTTTTTGTAAAATGAGAATTCCAATAAAAATCCATTACTGTGGAATGTGGATGTATGGTCCTGCCTCTCTTTTTGAGAAGAAGAAAGAAAGGAAGAGGAAAAAGACAAAAAGTTACGGACTTTGAATTCAAATCACAAAAAACTCAAATGTAAGAACGAGCATTTTCCATAATTAACCAAAACCACTACTTAGAGGAAAAAATTAAATTAAATTAATGCACATTCCATATACAGATGCGCACATAATTATTAGGAGTAAAATGAGAAGCATCAAATGAAGAGAAACGAGCTAAGAAAGGGATTATAATGGGGGGTCAAAAAAGGCCACTACTTCTAATTCAAGAAGTTCAAAGAAATAACGGGGCAAGAGCATTCTCCAAAAGTAACAAAACACAACACTTGAAAATCGAGAGAGACAAGTAAATCACGACGCATTTCAGATACAGCCGTGTATAGACCACGATTTGTGCAGAATTAGAGTGACGAAATTTGAAGAAACAGAAAAATGTTTAAAATGAGGTCTTACTAAATCGGGATTACCATGCCAGATTTCATCTTCAAACCCTCATATGGTTCAGCTCCATTATCCACAGCAGAACAAGAGGTAGAGAATGAAGAGAAGCTAAGATCTGATTGAACGGTTAGGGTTTCGAATTCTTCCGGTCAATGTGGGAGAGAGAGAGAGAGAAAGAGAAAGAGAAACCCAAACACATGAGAAAGTGTGCTTTCTTTTTTGAGGAATAGAGAGACTGAGAGAGAGAGATTTGAATAGAGAGAGAGAGAGAGAGAGAGAGAGAGAGAGAAGTGTAATGTGGCAGTGAAGAGACGACGACGTCGACGCTCAATTTCACCGTTACATTAAAACAATTACTCTTTTAACTATTTTTCAAAAAAAATAATAAATTTACTCTTTAACTATTTAAGTTTTAACCGTTAAGTACACCAGTTAATTAGAATTTTATGGATAATTATACAAATGATAATAATAGGATTATAGGAGTCATATTATGAGAAATGCTATTTCACAAAATTTAAAGGTTTTAATATAATTCTTATTCTTATGTTTAATTTGGTATAATTGTCATAAAATATAAATACTTGTACTATTTTTATCACATTTTAAAAATTTGAATATAATTTATACAAAATATAAATGTTTGAATTTTACTGCCTATAAACCCGATATATTTTTTTTGAAAGCCTATAAACCCGATATATATTTATGCATGACATTAAAATAAATTTCGTCATATCATTTACATCAAATAATATAAATTAATTCAAGGATGCAAGTATTGTGAAATAAACTCAAAGTTTGAGATAATTACCAATTTATCATTGTATTTTTTCCTTGCTTTGAAATCGTTGGTCTATCTACATCAATGCCCCAATGGATATACTGAGTTACTCCGTATTAGTGGAGCGTTATGTTGTGCATGGTGCATACGGATGCAAAAAAAAAAGACGTTATTTTGACGTCTAACTTACAAAAAATTCAGAATTACATAACTACACATCCATAATTTCACTACACTTCCAGAATTGCATAACTACACTTCCAGAATTGCATAATTATAATTCCAGAATTTCATAACTACACATCCATAACTTCATACTACACTTTCAGAATTGCATAACTACACTTCCAGAATTTCATAACTAAAAAATCCAAAATGAATGAACTAAAAATGAATAACATAATGTTGTTGCTGGGAATCAAAACTGATTTTTTTTGTTAAGTAGGACGCACGTTTTATGCAAAATGACGTCATTTTTGCATCCGTATGCACCATGCAGGGTGCATACGGATGCACATCATAATTTGCCCGTATTAGTTTTCTCATGAGTTAATAATCAAAAAGATCCTTTGACTATAGTGAAATTACCAATTTAGTTTTTGACTATTTTTTTTTATCAATTAAGTTCTTCAATTTTAAAAATCTTAACCAATTTGGTCCTCTGTTTATTTTTTCGTTAGACATCTATTAACTCGGAACCAAATTGGTAATTTCGTTATAGTCAAGGGATCATTTCAATAAATAACTTTTCAGAAAAAATGGAGCATGTGATGACTGAAATGGTCCCTTGACTATAGCAAAATTACTAATTTGGTCCCGAGTTAACGGATGTCTAAGGAAAACAAACGGATAGGGATGGCAATGTGCCCCGTCCCCGTTGGGGATCCCCGCCCCCGTTGAGGACGGGGACGGGGACGGGGATGGGGAGTTTATGAAATTCCCCGGCGGGGACGGGGACGGGGACGGGGATACCCCTCCCCGCCCCGCCCCGTCCCCGAATAATATATATATATATAGTTTTAGGAATTAGAAATTAGATATAGATTATTAGAATTTCTTTTTGTCTGTGGCTAATACAGTGTACTGTTGATTTAAACATAATTAGTTAATTACATAAAACACTGTTGTATACTGTGTATGACAGGATAATAGGGCTGGCACCCGACCCGGATCACAAATGAGCATCTGACTCAGCATCACATGGGAACCCAACGGGCAGAACTCCAACGGTTAGAATCCAACAGGTGTCACATTTATTGTCATTGAAGCCACCTTTGATGCCACCATTGATGAGAGAGTGTTAAAACCTCAATGCCTCATTCATGACTCTTCATATTCTTGCCATTAGCTCAGCTCCCCAAGGATGTCTCTTCATGTTGTTACCGTTAGGACCTAGCATAAATAGAACTTCCCTCAGCTGAGCAGGGGACACACTGTACTTTCTATACTGAGACAAAGAGCAATACAACTATTGTTACTCTCTTTCACGGAACGTCATTCTAATATTATATTTCCGGTAACATTATTACCGTCATTGGTGCTTTCGTTGAGAGCCTGAGTCCAATACTCAAGCAGACTACAACACAACTCATTCCTCTTTCAACAGCAAGCTTGAAAGAATGGTGTCCCGCAGCTCCCATGGTTCCTGCAACGTGAACAATAACAATGCCTCAGGTGACCTCCGGGACCAACTCACCAACAATCGCGGAGGGGACCTTCGAGACCAACTCAACAATGGAGGGGACCTTCGAAACCAACTCAACAATGGAGGGGACCTTCGAGACCAACTCAACAATGGAGGGGTGAACCAAGCCGTGAACCTCCAGGCGACTGCCGATGTCATTCAACAAGCAGTGACGGCGGCGCTAAATCAGGTGGCGGTGGGACTGCAAGGCCAAGTGCCCCCGCCGCGGCCCTAGGAAATAAGGGTGGAGACCCAAAGAAGTGGACCGGCCAGACGACAACCAGGCCCTTCCCAATCTGCACCAGAACGATTGGGACAAAGGGCGCCCGTGCGGCAAAGATTAGGACCACGGGCCGAGGGATCCTCTACCAGAGGTCCTCGCCAACACGAAAACAGAGAAGCCGAGAGATCACCCACAGAGGAGGTGGGCGAGTCTCGGGAGCCGACCCCACGCCAACACGTTGATGAGTCGGCCTTACGTCGACACTTGGAGGAGCGACGCGTCGAAGAGCTGGCTCCGCGACGGCACTCGGCGGGGAAGCGACGCGTTGATGAGCGGGCTCCACACCGACACTTGGAGGAGCGGCAGCCGGCCCCGCGCCGGCACCCTGATGAGTCGGCCCTGGTCGAGAGGCTGCAGAGAAGAATCGAGGAGTTAGCAAGAAGGGTGGAGGCACGGGAGCAGTCGCCGGAACCCGAGGTACGGATGGCAGCACCATTCTCCCCAAGCATCATGGACGTACCTTTGCCGAGGGACTTTAGGTTGCCCGCCATCAAGGAGTACACGGGGGTCACTGACCCACGCGTCCACATGACGAGGTACAAGGCTGCCATGGTAATGATCGGGGCAGGGGACGTCATCATGTGCCGAGCGTTCTTGTCCACCCTGGATGGAGCGGCCCAAGACTGGTTCAACACCATCCCTGATGGGTCGATCCAAAACTTTGGGGAGTTGTCCAAGAGCTTCCTGACATACTTCTCCGGTAGCATACAGCGTAAGAAACCCTTCTCTCACCTCTGTGTAGTGAAGCAAGATAGAGGCGAGAGCCTCAAAGACTTCCTGATAAAATGGAAAAAGGAAGTCAATAATGTGTACGACTTCGACTCCAAGGCGGCGATCCCGATATTTATCCATGCCTTAAGATCAGGGTATTTCCACAAGCAGTTGAACGCCCACCACCCCCGCTCTTACGAAGATCTGATAAGGACGGCTAGCCGCTATGCTGAAGCAGAGGACGTCGACAGAAAGAAGAAGGACGAAGAGGATGGAAGGAAAGGTGGGAAGCCTGGGAAAGCGGGCCCGCCCAGCCAGGCACCACCCTCGAACCACCCGACCGCAGGGAAAGGCCGAGACCACGAACGACCTCGCTTGGTCCCCTTGCGTAATCTAACTCCTCTTACCCATCCCGTCAGTGTCATTCTACAGCAAGCTGAGGAGATGGGAATGGTAGAATTCCCCGAGGAGTGCATGAAGGTCTCCCCAAAGGCAGACCAAACAAAGTACTGCAGGTTTCATAGTCAAGCTGGCCACGATACAGATGAGTGTCACGTTTTGAAGAGACAAATAGAAGAACTCATCCAGCAGGGCTACTTTCGGCATTTTGTCAAGCGATCCAAGCAGCAGCAGCAGCCGCAGCGCGATCCATCAAAAAATCCACCAAAAAATGTCTGGAGAAATGAGGATGTCACCGAGCCGTCCACCTTGAAAAAAAGAGAACACGACCAAATATCTGAGCAGAGTGATAGCGAGAAAGAAACCGAGGTGGCGCCTAGACGACAAAAGAAGCACACCATACACTTTATCTATGGTGGACCTGCAGGGGGCGACACGCCCGCGGAAAGAAAGAAGTGGAGCCGGCGGCTATACATGGGAGAAGTGGCGAGTCTTCCCAGAGAAAAGAAACAGAGACAGGAGGCCATCACCTTCTCTGATGATGACCTCCCAGAGGGCCCGTTACCCCATCGTGACGCCCTGGTAATTGAGATGGACGTCAACGATGTCATTGTCCGCCGCATCTTAGTCGACACGGGAAGCTCAGTCAATGTGATGTATTACGATGCCTTCACCAAGTTAGGGATACTTAGGAACCAGCTCAAAGAAGTACGTACCCCACTCTCGGGATTTACGGGTGGTTCAGTGGAGACGGAGGGGTCAGTGGTCTTACCAGTGGAGATAGGCACGAGCCCTAACATTCGCAAACTTGACTTGGAATTCATCGTGGTAAGACTCACTTGTGCGCACAACATCATATTGGGGAGACCGGCACTGGAGAACCTCAAGGCCATAGTGTCGGTGGAACACTTGTGTATGAAGTTCTCCACTCCGAGCGGGATAGGGGTCGTCAGAGGAGACCAGCGAGCGGCCCGCAGTTGTTACGTTAAAGCATGCAAAAAGATTGGCAGAAATGATCCATAAGTCCACACCATCTGTAAAGATAATCGATCGGGTATGGAGCTAGGAACATTTGATTAAGTATTTTCCTTAATGTTCTAGTAGTCGTTTGGGACTAGTGTTTGGTAATCGCGGTCCGCCCGCTTTGCATTCTGAAATCTTTTGGAATAATATCTCGTGCTTGTGGTCCGCCCATTGTTGTTTCCAAAAAAAAAAAAAAAAAAAAAAAAAAAAAAAAAAAAAAAAAAGGGAACGAATCGCACGCCCCGGCCACAGGTTGGCCGAGACGTGACTCGACTCGGATAACCGAGGCAAGCCTCGGCCAAAGTTCGGCCGAGGAGCCCGCCTCGGCCACAATCTGACCGAGGCACGCCTCGGCCAAGGGTTGGCCGAGGCGCACACCTCGGCCACGGTTCGGCCGAGGCGCCCGCCTCGGC